ACAATGAAACCAAGTTCGGCTCGACACCCTCAAACAGACGGGCAGACGGAGCGGGCACATCAGACCGCTCAAATGATGCTTCGTACGCTCATCCGTCCGGACCAGAAAGATTGGGTTCACCGCCTCCCCGACATCGAGTTCGCCTACAACACTTCGATGCATCCGACGATCGACGTGACTCCATTCGAGTTGCACCACGGTGGACGGAAAGGCCGGATCTTCGTCGACCTCCTCCTCCCTCGACCAGCCGACATTGACGCTGCCTGCCCTCCCTCTTCCGTCCGGAAGAACAGGGAATTGCTGACTCAAGCCCGCGCAAATATGCAAAAGGCTCAAGTCCGCATGCAGCAGCAAGCCAACAGGCGTCGCGTAYCATGTCCCATCCGCGCCGGTGATCTGGTTTGGGTCTCCGCGGAAGAGTTTGCACTGGAACAGGATGTTTCACGCAAACTGCTTCCCAAGTGGTTTGAGCCTTGGTCTGTGACAGCAGCCGAGGGCGATGAGCACGATGGCCCTTCATTTGTGATCAACATTCCAGAGCATCTGACGGTCCATCCGGTCTTCCACGCCTCGAAGCTGGCAACTTACACGCCAGCCAAGAGCGACGACTTTCCGGACCGACGACCGCAGGACSCTCCTTCTATGGATGGCCATGAGGAAGTTGACCGCGTCATCTCCGATCGCAAGTACGGCAGCAAGCCGCGGCAGAATAAAGTCACATTCAAAGCATGCGATCGCGACGACACTCGGTGGATATCAGGCGCAGATTTGAAAGCATCCGCACCGCTGATCTACGCGCATTATGAAAAGCGCAGGTTAGCTCAGGAAGCTTCACGACCAGCCCCTCCCACCCGGACTGTGGTCCCTCCCTCAGACAGACAGCTTCGCCCTCGCAGGTAAGCTCGGTTCTTCAAGGAGGGGGGGGTGTGGCATACTATGTAGCCACACAGGGCCCGTCCCGGACATTCAGCCTAAAAGCCTAAAACTTAAGGCTTACAGGCCCCGTTCGTTTCATCCTGGATGCTGAAAAACGAGGGCCTGCAGGCCCTACCTCATTTCAGCCTATTTCTGGGTCTTTTCAGACCCAGAGTTTTCAGCCTGAAACAGAGGGCCATTTTCAGGCCCTCATTGTTTCGACCTGCCCCTAAGACTCAAGCACGGAAACAGGGATGCGGAACAGGCCCAAAATAGCCTGTTCCTCACGTACTCGAGCAGGAGCTGCAGCCGCAGCCCCTACCTCCCTTCGGCAGGCTCAAGAGGCATACCCGTAGTACATAGGAGGCTCCCCATGCACTTCACGGGTAGGTAGTGTCAGTAGGCACGAGTAGTCTTCAGGATTCGACCGCAGCACTCAGGAGGAGCGCTGCAATAGTCTTTAGCGCTAGGCAGTAGCGGTAGCGCTAGGTGTAGTCTTCTGCGCTGGGCGCCATAGCTGTAGCTGTAGTCTTCAGCGCTGGGCGCTGGTAGGTGGTAGATCGTAGAGTGGGAGAGAGACTGGCGGAGGCCAGTGTTACTTACGTGTGGCRCCATCGCTCCAGCTCCATCTTCGTGGTACCTGCATCAAGACGCCAACTTCACAGGTTAGTACTGGACACAGAGAGAGAGAGAGAGAGTTCTTCTTCTTCCTCTTCTAAGTCCACCTTCTCTTCTCACCCTCTCTCCACCTGACTTCTCAGACTACGACAGACAGAGACAGAGTTGTGACTTGAGACTTGACGACATTGGATCCAGACTTGACATTTGGGATTCAGACAGTTCGACGAGGGACTATTTGGGCTTGTGCCGAAGATCTTCCCCCTCCTCTTCGTCTATCCCCTTCCTCCTCCTCTACGCATGTTCTGGGCTGGCGCTGTCTTCCTGTGTGAAGCGCCAGACCCATTCACACTACGAAACGATGATGATGATGTATGTTCAAGGCTGCATTACAACATTGATTGTTCGGATCAATGGTGTCTAAGTCTTCCGCTGTGTTATCTCGAACTTTGTATTGAAAGGTCGGTTCTTGTTCTGGTTGCACGTTACAATATGCAATAGCTTCCTTTGCCCATGCACTAACTCTGTTCTCATGCTGAGTTTTCTATCCTGGGAGGGTAAGCAGAACTTGATAGTGACAAGAGCATTTTGAAATTGTGGTTGGCCTAGAAAGGTTCATTCCTCTCTCTCTCTCTCTCTCCCCCCAACCCTGGTGTGCATTTGGCACCATAGTTCGCCATTAAACTACCAATAACTGACGTCTTCTCTCTCTCTCTCTCTCTCTCTCTCTCTCTCTCTCTCTCTCTCTCTCTCTCTATCTCTATCTCTCTCTCTCTCTGTGTGTGTATGTGTGTGTGTGTGTGTGTGTGTGTGTGTGCGTGTGTGTGTGTGTGTGTGTGTGTGTTTGTGTTTGTGTGTGTATGTGCACCCCCCCTCCCCCCCGAGAAAAACAGAGGGAGAGAGAGGGAGCGGGAGATCAGTTTGTGAAAATACAGTGGTCAGAAGTCGGCATGGGAAAAGTCAAGTCATGATACCAACCGGAACTGGCAAGATCTAATGAAAGTCTACGGCTCTAAGCTATTGATATTGTCAGGTCATCATCCAAAGACGAACGGCCAAACAATGGCTACCATGCAGACATCCAGACGGGCATCCGAACAGTCTGGATGCCGTGCCGTAGGAGGCCCATCCTGAGGGGACCGAACCCTACCGCCCCCCCCCCCCCCCCCCAAAACGGGGGGGCCCCCCCTCTCTCTCCCACTCTCTCTCTCTCTTTCTCCCACGTGAAGCTGGGTATCCGTCCCAGTGCTTCAGTGCTTGTAATTTCATATGGGATGCTGGTCCCGTTTCCCACCACGTGCTGCTCCCCACGAATAGATTGGAGCTTTTGTGCCCCCCCCAAAAAAAGGGGGTGCCCTGCACCTGTTCCTCCTGTCCAGGGCGCCCCCTAAAATTGTTTGGTGGAACTTTGGGGCCCGTGTCAGTCGTTTAGGGCCCTTGGACCGACTCCTTTTTTGCTTCTCTAACTGCACCCTCAGCCGGTGCCTTGGCGGGTCCAGGAACTTCGAGAATTGTTGTCCAACCGCCCGCCCGTCCGCCATTCGAAGTCGTCTGAATCTGAGGGCGTCGTAGCGAGGCCGTCATCGAAACGCAGTGAGAACGAGCTGAAGCGCGCGCCGGGTGGAGAGAGAGAGAGAGAGAGAGAGAGAGAGAGAGAGAGAGAGAGAGAGAGAGAGCATCGTCCTCAGCTCGGCAAGCTTCGTCATCCAGGAGACGGGCACGAGTGCACGTGAGAGAGTGAGAGAGAAAGAGAGGGTCGCCACATGATCCTCCATCTCGCTCCACTGCGAGGTCGAAATCAGGCGTAGAGGGTCGCCGCAGGATCCTCCATCGCGCTCCACTGCGAGGTCGACATCAGCCGCATGGTCGTCGTCGAGCTCCTCCGTCAGGTCAGTTCTCTCTCTCTCTCTCTCTCTCTCTCTCTCTCTCTTCGTTCATTCCATGCTTGCCATTCGTTTAGGTGTTTCGGGCGTCCCTGCAGTACTTTTCAAATGGGACTGAATCCTACGCTAGAAAATGGTAGATTGCGTTGGTGCAATGAGGACGGAGGTTTGGAACATGGGGGAGGTCCAGATCAAATAGAGGAGGAAGGAGGTTTGGAACAAGGGGGAGGGACACTCGAAAGAATTTGGGGGGGGGGGGGGGGGGGGGGGGGAGGGTCCGAAACAGGGAAGGGAATCCAATTCCCATCTATTCCAAACCTCCCTCCCCTTCGTTCAAAATCTCCCTCCCCCATTTTTTTAGATGGTTGTTCGTTTTGAATCTTTATGAGTGGTTCTTTTTATTCATCCACAAACGTGTCATTCTATGAGCAGAGAATCGTCGTTCTTCCTATTCGTTCACAAACTCTTCATTTGCTGGTTCCTTTTATTCGTTCACAAACTATTCACAATTGTGGTTTTTTCTATTCTTTTTATTCGTTCACAAACTTATCAAGATTCTCTGAGCAGAGAATCGTGGTTCTTTCTATTTGTTCACAAACTTTTCATTCGGAACTTGGGATTCTTCGGTAGTGCTTCGGATGATTTTGTTCGTTAGCAACGTTTCCGTTCACTTTCAAAGTTCACATTCGTTTTCAAACATTCGTGACCCGATCTTATTCCCTCCCCAGATCGTTGGATTCTTTGGAACATAGCCGAAGTTTGGAACATGGGGAGGGAGACTTGAAACATCGGGGAGGGATGTCCAAAAGATGGGGGAGGGAGGTTCGAAAGAAAGGGGAGGGGTTTCGGAGGAACGGGAAGGGAGTCCGAAAGAAGTGGGAGGAAGGTTTGAAACAAGGGGGAAAGAGGTTCGGAAGAAAGGGGAGGGAGGCTCGAAATAAGGTTCAAAAGAAGGGGAGGGAGGTTCAAAAGACGAGGGAGGGAGGTTCGAAAGAAAGGGAAGGGAGGCTGGGAGGAGGGGGAGGGAGTATGATTGAAGTTCATGAACTGCGATTGTATTCCCCCCCCCCCCTCCCTTCCCCATTATTCTGAACCTCCCTCCCCCTCCTGATGAACCTCTCTCCCCCATGTTCCGATCCTCCCTTCTCCATATTACAAACCTCTGTCCCCCATGTTTGGAACCTCTCCACCTTTCTGAAACTACTCCCCCTTCCTCCACACCTCCCTCCACCTTATTCTGAACCTCCCTCCCACATGTTCCGAACCTCACTCCCCCATGTTGGGACCTCCCTTCCCCTTCTCCCCCGATCCTCCCTTCCCATCCTTCTCCCTTCAATAGAACCCTATTCTTACAAGACTTCAGGTCTTGGGAATGGTAGAGAGGGAGAATAGAGAAAGAGGGAGCAGGCGAGAATTGCAGGGAGGAGACAACAGGGAGAGTAGAGAGGTGAAGAGGGATCTGGCAATTCATCATGTCTAGTGTTCTCATTTGAGTCTGCGCCCTTTGTAAAGGTGAGCAATGGGTGCCCACACCCACACCCACGTGCACCCACCCGACCCACGACATTATGAGTCAGGTCTAGGTCTAGCTGAAGCCGGCTTGGGTGGGTCATGGCTTGGTGTAGCCAAGCCTCTCTGGTGGGTGGTGGGCGTATGAGGCCTTGGCGTAGGTCACCCGAAGCGCCGGTGTTGGGTCACCCAGGTCCGCGTCAACCGACCCAGATAGACCCAAGGCACCCTGGAAACATCACCCCCCCCCACCAGCAACCACTAGCAGGTTCACCAATAGCAACAACAAAAAACATCACCCTTCCTCTAAAGTTCTCGATAAAAAGAAAAATGTTCATGCCAGCCGGCACGGTGCAGCAAGTGCCCCCAAGAAAAAGGACCTGCTCTCGAGAAAGTCTGAGACCGAATCTACAGTTCCCGATGAAAAAGATAAACGGTCATGCCAACCCATTCATTGCAGTGACTGCCCTGCAAAATAAGACCTGCGGTCGAGCGCATCTGACAGCAAAAGAGGAAAGATACACCGGCTTCAAACTCCAAAGTTTCCCGTTGGCGGCAGTGATCGGAGGGAGTTCAAAGTCAGCTAGCAGGGAGGGAGTTTGAAGATGGCGCCAACAGGTCAAGAAGTGGTGCAGCAGCAACCAACACCGGCATAGCAAGAGGGAGGGTGCTAACAAAAGGGGAGAGAGAGAGAGAGGGAGGGAGAGAGAGAGAGGTTCTAAGAACCCGTGCCATTGTTCGTAGTGTCCCGTGCAGGCAGGATGGTGAAATCTGGTAGCGATGCCATTAAAAGACACTTCATAGATTTAGGTGCCACCGGTAAGCCAGACAAAGGGAATCGAAAATGAAGGTGTCGTTACTGCGACCTCGACCTGACGGGAGCTGCATCGAGGCTTAGAAAACATTTTGCAGAAGGAGATGTCACATTTCAAATGCGCGGGGCATATTCACGCAGGCAGAGAGGGAGAGGAGGTTGCAAGGGCGAGCAGAGGCCATTGCATTCGTGAGGGGGGTAGGGAGGTGCCAGAAGTTGAGACAAGCACGCAGTCGGGCGTCGGAGAAG